CTTGCTAGGGAAGCGCTTATTCCACTGAGCCATCTCCCCGGCCAATACTTCATTTTTAAATGTCTTATAATGCGTCCATTTAGGGTACAACATGATGCTCTGCTGCATATGTCTACTGTGGAATGATCAAACACAGCAAATTATCATATTCATCACTTCTCATGCCATTTTTGGGCAGTGAAAATATTGGCAATCTGTCTTTAGTAATTTAAATGCATAACATATTATTACTAATTATAATCGCTATCCTTGCAATGGAGGAAACAGCTTTAGTGATGTGTTTCACTTTATACGTTTATGCAATGCAATGTCATCTTCTATGTTTATTTAGACACACGTCATTCTAAGTGATACTTTCAATTTGATAGCTTTCAGGAAGCTCAGCCATTAATCAACAAGATAACCACGTATGTGCATCATGCCATCCTCCAGGCTATATATTCCTCAACCTGTGTGAGAAATCCCCATGGCTTTACAAGCTGCATATGAATATAACCACAATTTCACTCATTCCCAAAACTTCAATCACAGGTACTACTTCTTATCTTCTGCAAAGCCCATAAGAACACATACTTGGAATTACTTCATCTCAATGTTTCCAATTGATTTAAAAGAAATGTTCTCTCTTTTTATCTTGACTCTTAAACCTTATCCAGTAAATTCTTAACTGTCCTTTTTCTGTGTAGTTGGGAGAAGAATAGTTTTGTCTAATAAATATTTAAAACAGATCACTGAAGAATTTGAGGAACTTTGCATATCTCAGTTGGTTCTTTTCATTATATGTTTTTGGTAATCAATCTTCTGCATGCTTCATATACCCAGGATAACTTTATGAGAAATTATAATATATAATCCTCTGAAGTTATTCATGGGATCTTTTAGAAAATAGCAACAACAACCAGATGCAACTGCCACCTACCTGTTCCCTGAGTAAAATAAAGAAAACAAAAACATTAAAATCTACACACGGATACGTTTTGAGTGATTCAAACCCAGAGTAACCGTACTGCTGCAAAGGGTTAGCGGAATCTGTTCTTACCTGTGTGAGAAACAAGCCTCCTGGTAGAAGATGTCGCTGCTGAATATTGGAAGAAGGGAAGTGTCAGACATTTGCCTGTCACCCTGTCACATATGCCTGACTGGCAGTGGCAAGTCTCTTTGCATTCCATCCCGAAGGTACCGTAGGGGCAGTCTAAGGACAGAGGAAAGGTTTAGAGAGAGGGCTGCCTGATGTGCAAAAGCCTCCATCCTAGCAGCCCTGACTGAGAGTGTTAGGATTTCATCCAGACTCACGGATCTTGGCTATGCAATGCAACCTGATAGTCAGAACTCCACATTCAGACTAGATCATGGAGGCCTCAGGCTTTGTGGTATGTTGCAAACTCTAGCGGAAAACAACTATACATAATCAATTTCCTTGGACCAGTCTTAATTCTATTTTCTGATCAGATGTCTGTAGATTCTCACGAGTTACTTCTGTAGCAATTCACTGAAGGTGAGAAGTTGAACAGACATATGCTCCTCACCCGGTATAAAACATATAATGTTGACTGGTATGTAGCTCAGTGGCCTAAGTGCCTGCCTGGTAAGCGCAATGTCCTGAGTTCAATACCCAGTACAAAAAAAAAAAAAAAAAAAAAAGAAAGAAAGAAAGAAAGAAGAAGAAAGAAAGAAAGAGAAAAAACATAAAGATTCTAAAAAAAAGATACAGTGTTGTCCTTAAGTCCACTGCATTCATAGGCAATTTACCATTTAAATATATAGTAAAAGGTTTCAAATTAACCAGGGCCTAGAGAGCGATCATCCCTGCTCACCATAGAGCAGTCGGTCCTCACTCTGTTCCAACTTTTATGAAGTTCTTTATCTGTCAGGTAAAGCAGCACAGCTTACCTGACTCCCTCAACCATAAGGGTGCTCACAAGTACAAAAGTCCCTGCAAAGCTAAGACAAGAAAACTTAGAGTTTATACATCCCCAGGATTTATACATCTACCTAAAACTAGAGTTTCAAAGTTATTACACTTAGACTAAAACAGTAGATGTAGATAAAGAGAACAAAGTCATTTATGAAGGAGTAGTGGTATAGCGTAAACAACCTCTCAACAGAAAAAAAGAGTCCTTAACAGCAGAGGGTTGGGGAGATAGCTCAGTGGTCTAAGCACCTGCCTGGCAAGTGCAGGAGCCCAAGTTTGATCCCTGGCACCACATGCCGTGCCAGCCCCAAAACCAGGCATGGTGGCACATGTCTGTGGTCCTAGCACTGGGGAGGCTGAGGCAGGACAATCACTATGAGTCCATCCTGCTTAGCAAGACCCTGTACCAAATAAATAAATAATTTTTTCTTTAAAAAGACAGCAGAACATATGCAGAATATTTATTTTCTTTCCATGAACATATCACAGAAACTATACAATCACACAGGCATAAAAAAAACAAGCTGTGAGACATCTGAGTCTTCGCAAGCCAATGGTCTACAGAGAGATCAAGACAGGTAGTCACAACATTTATTTTTAAGGAGATTTAAATTTACTTTTTCTGCTATGCTTCAAGTTACAGATGACCCTGGTTTTGTATACTGTCCTCTCTCCTCATCAGTAATCTGAAAGGTGCCCAGAACAGCAATCCAAAATATATTCTTAAATGTATTCCATTAACATTGACCCCAATCACTCAGTAGATTAATAGAGTAATAAAAATTCCAGATACCTTCCAGTTTGGTTCCTATGTAACTGGACATTTATATTGACATTTACAGAGGTCTTCTGCACTAAGAGGAAAATCAATCTGCTGCATATTCTTGCTGTATCATAAACAGGAATGTGATAAGCCCTTTCTCCTTAAGTTTTTTTTTAATAAAGAATTGTTTTCTTGGCTCATAAGCCTTGTAATGTACAGAAAATACAGCTCTATGCAGTCGAATGAAATATATGTGTGTATTCATGAAAGAATATGTTCCTTCAATATTCTACCTCTTATTGGTTATAAGGAAAAATAAAATTATCTTTTTTCTCCTTTATTTACTTGTTTTTTAATTTTTAATTTTTATTTTAAAGAGAATAAAAAATAATAAAAACAGG